CATAATACCCTGGAATGTTTGGCCTTGTTACAGACACACAAGGTAACACACGCGGGTTAAAATGGCAATTGATGGTTCATTTCCCAAATCTACAATCAGTGTCTGTATATAAACAGTCAATGAGTTTGTTCGCTCTCAGGTGGATGCACCGAGCAGGCTGGATACTGAGCCATGGAGAGCAGAAAAGAACGGTCAGAAGACCTGCGTAACAAGGTAATGGAACTTTATAAAGATGGAGAAGGATATAAAAAGCTACCCAAAGCCCTGAAAATGTCAGTCACTACTGTCCAATCACTTATCAAGAAGTGGAAAATTGGGGGATCTCTTGATACCAAGCCAAGGTCAGGTAGACCAAGAGGGATTGCAGCCACAACTGCCAGGAGAATTGTTGGGGATACAAAGAAAACCCCGCAGGTAACCTCAGGAGAAATACAGGCTGCTCTGGAAAGAGACGGTGTGGTTGATTTTACTGGAACAAAAATGAGCTGCATGGTCGAGTTGGCAGAAAGAAACCTTTACTGCGCCAATGCCACAAAAAAGCCCGGTTACAATATGCCCGACAACACCTTGCCGCACCTCACTGCTTCGAGCACGCTGTAATTTGGAGTGACAAGACCAAAATAAAGCTTTATAGTCACAACCATAATTGCTATGTTTGGAGAGGGGTCAGCAAGGCCTATAGCGACAAGAATACCATCCCCACTGTGAAGCAAGGTGGTGGCTCACTGATGGGTTTTTTTTGGGGGGGGTGAGCTCTACAGGCACGGGGAATCTTGTGAAAATTGATGGCAAGAGGAATGCGGCATAATACTGCATTCGCAGGAAATACTGGCAGACAATTTGCAGTCTTCTGCACGAAAGCTGCGAATGGGACGGTCTTAGACTTTCCAGCACCCCAATGACCCTAAGCACAAGGCCGAGTTGACCCTCCAGGGGTCACAGCAGAAAAAGGTGAAGGTTCTGGAGTGGCCATCACAGTCTCCTCACCTTTTAATATCATCGAGCCGCTCTGGGGAGATCTCAAATGTGCGATTCATGCAAGACGACCAAAGACTTTGCATGACCTAGAGGACGAATGGCCAGTTATACCACCGGCAAGAATTTGGGGGCCTCATAGACAACTATTACAAGAGACTGCACGCTGTCATTGATGCTTAAAGGAGAACTATGGGGTTAAGTCTTTTCCCCATAGTTCTCCTTAGGGTAACGGGAGGACACAAACTAGCATCCTCCCGTCACCCTAGGCTGAGTATACCGCGAGCGGTATACTGAGACGCCGCAGCTGAAGCGGATCCCGACAATTATGCCGGGATCCGCCCAGCGGCGTGACTGACAGCTGGCTCTGCCTATCTAGAGGCAGAGCCAGCTGTACCCTCCCCCGTCCGTTCCGCCAGTCAGCGCTGGGGGATCGGAGGGGGGAATCTCTGCAGAGAGCCGTGACAGGATCGAGAGGTGAGCGAACGCCGGTATGTGTTCGCTCACCTCCCGATCTACTGAGCCGACCTGTGACAGTCTCATTGTCACAGGTCGGCTAGAACTATGAGGTGAGTGAAAAGCCCCTCCCCCTCATAGTTCTCCTTTAAGGGGGCAGTACACAGTATTAAGAACTAAGGGGATGCAGACCTTTGAACGGGTCATTTCATTTTTTTTATTTTTTGTCATGTTTTGTTTTTATGGTTGTGCCGTTCTGTTATCACCTACAGCTGAATAGGAATTACATAAGAAATAAAAGAAATGTGTTTTGTCTGCTCACTCATGTTTTCTTTAAAAATGGTCCATATATTACTAATTCTCCATGGGTGTGCAAACCTTTGAGCACAACTGTATGTCTAAGGATGTATCGTATATCATACATTATAGATAACATCCTCCTTGGTTTCCTGAAGAAGTGGCCTACAGTGCCTATGAATCGCATCGAGTATCCTGGCGTCCCATCTATAGAGCCAATGGAGTTGATGTACTAAAGTAAAATAGACTGTTTGCTATGTAAGGGAATTTGCACTTTGCAGGGAAGTCTCCCCTTAGCTTAGTGAATGAGGTGAAGCTCTGCAGACTTCCATCATCCAATCACACGGAAGTAAAAATGCCGTTGTTCTTTTTTGTTTTCCTTGCATATGATTGGGTTTTCTTTTGTATAATTTCATCACATTCACCAAAATTCCCCTGCAGAGTGAACAGTCTGTTTGCCCTCAGTGTGACTGCGATGCTCTGATATGATGGTGACCTTGGGGAAAGGCATTTTTGTACTGTACATATATGAACACATTAGTGTCTTATAAAAGTTTGTGCTGTTATTTTATAACTGTATACATTGTTTCAATTTCAATACTGTACCCATAAAGTACCAAGTACATTCAGTTCATGTGTAGTACTTAGGAGTATGGGGTGGTGGCACTTCCTCCTCAATGGGGGGGGGGGGCATTTTTTGAGCCTCCATTATATACAGTCACAAAACATTCACCAGACTCTTTGTAGGAGACAAGTGTTGCTAATTCATTCTGATGCAATTGTTTATTTCTAATAACATCTCCATTTACATCGGAGCCACAGGCTTAGGGGCCCACAGCATGCACACCCATAAAAAGACCCGATCCCGGGAGGGACATGTGCTCTGTGTGAGAGGGCACGGCTGCAAGCAATTACATGCGGTCACACCATACCTGAACCTGTACATCCGTGCGGATCCGTGTGCCCGTACTTGGACGCACGCTGACCCATAGGGGAGAACAGGCTGCCGCGCACAATTACACGCAGCACCTGTCCCTTCACTGATCGGGCCTTTTTATGGGCTTGTGCACCCGTCTAAATGAGCCCTTAGAATTAGAGGTGCACCGAAATGAACATTTTTAAAAGAAAACCGAAATGAAAAAAAAATGTCGGGCCGAAACTGAAAATGGCTGAGCGCGGTGGGAGGAGAGACGCCGGCTTCTCACAGCGCTCTCCTCCCACAACGCTGCCCAGGTGGGAACCATGCCCATAGGCAATCATTGGTTTTCACATGTTGAGCGTTTTACAGCGTGTAGGAACGCTGTGTAAAACACCCAGGTGTGAACCAGGCCTTAGCCGAAAGTGTCATTTACAGACGATATTTTTTTCGGCGGGCGATATACCATATTTTTCCGTCTATAGGACGCCCCCCACTTTTCTTACCCAAAATTCAGAAATCAATATTTTCCATGCTCTTTTGCATAACTGATTACATCCAGTTTAAATTTTGCAGAGTAAGAGCTGCTTACTGGTACCGGTATTTTTTTTTTTTCTGACATTTTTATGGGCTCCCTGTTGCATCTGGGGCACTGGCTACAGGCTCTCCGCAGCATCAGCTGATGTCAGGTACATAAGGCTCATGATTGGAGGAAACCTGTTAGCTTGTCTCTGCAATCGGAAGTTTAGTTTGCAGAGGTATCTGCAGTTTCGCAACTCCTCTCGGTTCTCCTCTCGGCCCCCCGTGTATAAGACACCCCTCCATTTTTAGGTTAAATATTTTAAAGGAAAGATATAGTCTTATACACGGAAAAATACAGTATATCGGTGCATACCTACTTAGAATATAGTTTGTGGCTATGACGACCACTCTTGGTAGCTCCATGAGCTGGTATTGTTCTGTTTTGTCATCGAGAACTCAAATAGGAAATATATAAGAAAACGTAATTCCAGCAGCTGCTGTTTTTCTCATTTTAGTGCAGAAGACAACAGTGTGACCCCTGTGGAGCCTCTCAATGAGGGGGATTCACTAAGACTGGGCAGACAAAATGTGCATGGCAACCAATCAGCATCTAGCTTTCATTTTCAAAGCTGAAAGGAGTTGTGAAGTCCCAGCACATCCTCTCCTGTTCTAACATCGGCATTGTGATACGAATACATACTGAAGTTGTTTTTGATGATGCAATCAAAGTTTACATGATAAAATCCCTTTGATGTATTGATTGCTGCCTCCCGTCTGCCCATCACTTTCTGCATTTCCAGTGTGCTTTGCGTCTCTTTCCCTGCTGCTTGATGTAATCTCCATTTCAGTAGACTACATATTCCATCATGCATTGCTTCCAGCAATCAATGACAATCTTACATTGTTCAGACGTTGAGTTGTAGTTCAGAAGGTAGACTCTGTGAGAGCGGTGACACCAAGAAGTGCGTATTCACAGGGCTGAGTGTAATGGTGTCAGTGCATTGAGGAAGTCCATCCTATGGGCAGCTTTAGTTTACAAACTTCTACATGGATCTGGTTATTAGGAGTGGGATAGAACTTACAGAATTCAATATAGAGCTACAAATTTCTTTTTAATTTTTGACCATAGTATGTGCTGGGACTTTACAACTCCTTTTAACTTTAAAAGAGATGTCTTTCTTGCAACACAGTTGTTAGCTGCATCCCCCCTGAGATCAGTTGGCTGTGGGGGGTCTGGTGCAATCAGCTGGTACTTGCATGCAATGGAAGCTTTCCCTGACAGTCTGGCCAATTACAATTTACATGAACAGTATCACTCATGAAACGTGTTCAATTTATTCTCTTTTTACAAATATAGCCTGGAACGATTTTTATTTTCTGCGTAAAACTTTCCATTATGGAATTTGATTGTATTTTGTAGTATGGGGAATATAACAAGGGGAGTAGGGTAACCCCAGAAAGGAATCCAGGAACTCTTATCGGAGATCTCACTGCTGGAGTTTTAAAAGTGAAAATAAAAATATATATATTTTTTTTTTAAATAGAGAAAATGAAGGGGAAAAAAAATCATACCGCCAGTGAAACACGCATTTCACTGAACGAAAAAACGAGCTGAAAAACTAGCATTAAAAAAACGCTCCGGTGTGAACCCAGCCTAAGAGATGAAAGTAGGCAATAGGTCAAATACATCCCGCCAAAAATATAAATGGATGGACTGACCCCTTGATTGCCCTTTGATTTCTCTACCATATGCCGCGTGTGGTGAACACCATTGCATGTTCCTGTGTAAAGACTGTTTTTCTCCTCTTTTCAGGTTGGCTGCATGATTCCAAGCATGGACAATCCGTTACTTTCCCAGTTGGTGAATGGGATTACCAGTGCCGTTCCACCTTCCCAGTCCAAACTGTACAGCAGCTGGTCTGTGTGTGACGAAGAAACAAAAACATCTTCTATAACTGACTGTTTGGAGAAGAGGTAATAGTAGAAATAATACATTCTTTCAGTTATCTTACACCGGGCGACATTAAGGCCCCTTTCACACGGGCTGATCAGGAGGAGATCTGTGCGCGGATCCGCTCCTGATCGGACCAGTACGGAGGGATGTCCCCACTGTGACATGTCCATTTTGCGATGGAGGAAAACACTGAAATCACCGGACCCCATGTCAGTCTATGGGGGATCTGATGTACATGGTCATCAAAGTTTGTGACTACGTTAGAATGTCTGACAGGTTACCGATCTGCCCTGGAACAGCTGATCGGTCCTGAAATGTCACTTCTATATGACTTTGTGAGTGCGATCTCACATTCCACAAGTCGCATAGAAGTGACATTTCAGGACCGATCAGCTATTCCAGGGCAGATCGGTTCTCCTGCACATACCATCGGCGATGCCGATCTGCCCTGGAACAGCTGAGAAAGCTTTGGAATTCTTCAACTTTTGCCGGTCACATATTTCACCGCTGAAAAAGTGGGCGCGATTACGTTAAAATGTGTGACCACGTGACCGGTCAAACATTCCAACCCAGTCACAATCTTTAATTTTTTTTTTTTTACTTTACTTTTAGGGGCTTCGGGGGAAATATTGGGGGTCTAAACAGACTCCTGATATTTCCCTTTTTAAAATTGAAAAAGAGATTGTGGACACAGAGACACACAGAGTCCTCAATCTCTTTTTCTGTATCTCCTGTTATCAATGAAGAGGAATCCTCTATACTGAGTGTTCCTGATCATTCATAACATGAGGACAGAGTATGTTTACTATAACCACAATCATGAATGTACAGGAAGTGATGTAGATGTGATGTAGATCACTTCCCATTCATTCATAATTGGAGACACAGTAAACATACTCTGTCCTCAATTTTTTACAAACACTCAGCGATCACCGACTGCTTGTACTTCGCTCTCCTTCCTGACACGCTGTCACGGCAGGCTGAGCGAGCAGAGCTCAGCCTGCGGTGACAGCACAGGCTGTCTCCGCCCACACACCGATCTGTGACAGGAGGCTGAGCGGTGTGGGAGGAGACGCTGGCCGCTCACAGTGCTCTCCTCCCTGGGGGCTCAGTAGCCTGTCATAGTTTCTCTCCTCCCCGCGGGGACACAGCAGCGCCCAGCGGGGAGGAGAGAATAGGATGCACCGCTGTATCCGCCAGAAAATTATGCCATAAGTGCCATTTTCGGCCGATATGTTTCGGCCGCCGATATATCGGTGCATCCCTAATTACTTTTTACTGGAATAAAAGTTTGTAATTTGAAAATTATGTTTAATGGCAGTCACTTCCGAGTGCGTGGATGCGGTTTCAGCTTTATTTATAGCGACCATGGAACCCCCAGACTTGGTGCTGTGATAGACCAATGTCAGTTTGATTAAGGAAGGTGACGCCTGACTCTGACTTTGGTAGAATAATAGGAAGCTGTGAGTCCGGTGGGGTCTTGCCACTGTGAAGTTCCGAAACACGTTCTATACAAGTTCTATATACTTCCCTTTCTAAGCTCCTTGGGAATGGCCGTTATACTTTATGGTGTTTTCAGGTGCATGGCCCAGATTGTAAGTCTGTGAGCATATAAAAAAATGTGAGAGTGCGGTTTACCGATTGCAAAAGTGAGACCGATCATGTGATTAAATTGAAGGCAGTACATTTGAGGAAGGGAAAGGCTTAACCAAGAGCTCCATAACAAAATCAGGTACGGCTCTGTGGTGAATTTTGCTTAAACCGTAGATTGGATGACCTGGATAGGACTTGTGCAACTAAAAGAAATGACGATTTAAAGTAATTATGATTTTTACCTTATTTTTCTTTCTTTCTTGTTTTAAAGTGCTGTGTACCCTTTCCCCGACTCTGAAAACCGTACAGATGTGTTCGGGTTGATGTCAAACCGCCCAGAAGACGCAAACAAAATTGATGCTGTGACAGATTGGTAAGCACCAATAGGGTCTCCTAACATGGGTACTCTGATTGGTCAGAGAGTTCTTCCTCTGGGTATC